CCGCTGGAGCCCAATTTTCCGAAAAGTTGGAGCCCAAATTTCCGAAAAATCTTGGAGCCCAATTTTCCAGAGCCCAATTTTCCGGACACCATTACAGTTTACTGTACATATGTTTTGAGCTTTTTCAGAATTTTGTGATTTTGCTTGCAAATTTTGAACTTAACATTTAAGTTAATTATTTACCAATTTATATACAATGCTGCCTTCACCAGGAATAACATTTAAAAATATTTCAATTATAACAGTAATTTTAATAATTCTATTGTCCTTAAATTATTTAGAACTAATTTTAATTTAAAATTAAAAATATTTTTACCAATTTATTTTTAGCTTCCCTTCCAACTTTTTCGAGTAAATATAAAAATAAAATACAACAAAATACATTAGCAAAACCAAAGCAAGTTTTGACAAAAAGGACTGGATAATTTTTTAATCGAGGTTGCATACAAGATTGGGTTTCACAATATTTGTCTTTAAATTAATTTTTATTTCAATTTGTTTAATTCATCCGAGAACCCCAAAGGATCAAGCATATGCAAGAAATTGGACACGCCTAAAAGGCGCAAAGCCTAAGTATGCTTCGAGATTTCAAAATCTCTCGAAATTCACTGTTAAACGATTCCTCTCAAAGAGCTAAAGAGAGATTAGTCCCTTTTGGGAATATATGGAATTTATAAATTGAGCAATAAAACATAGATTAAATCTCCGTCCTAATTTAGACATGTATTTTATCATCTTTATAACTCCTTATTACATATACCCCCATGTTCATATTTTTGATGCTATAAAGGTCGACATATAATTACCCCAAATGAGATATGTATTGCTCTTATTTTCGAATGAAATAATTACTTAGATAATTACTCAGATTTTCATAATTTTAATTAAAAGCTACATTATCTGTATTATTATCATACAGGCAAATACCCGACACTGATTAAATATTAAGTACAATTACCAGTTTCATAATCTAATGGAAATTCAAAAGCATAGCTTGCCCCACATAAAAGATAAACTGCGACAACAACAAATATCCCTCCAATAATAAATATTCCATTTTTCTTGCCAGTCAATTGATTTCCCGTTTTTAACACCAAACAACGTTCCAAACAAAGAATAAACACTAAAATACTTGAAACTCCATAATGAAGAGCATTAAATGTACTCGAAATGAAATGATAAAGAACATTAGAATATAATGGCTCGTTTCCACGCATGAATGGAGGACGCCACCAAAATACTTTGTAAATGAAAAATGGCAATTCTGTCGCTATAAAAATCTTATTAGTATATTATGTCAATTTTTTGTAAATTCTGTTCCAAATAACCACCCCCTCCATTTTTTGAGATAATTTTTTAAAGTTATAATCTACAAGTTGTCAGGAAATTCACTGGCTTTATAATAATTTTCGTTAAACGTTAAAAAGCATTAAGCAACCTTATATGCCAACGATGAACTTTTTCGGTTACAACATTGGTAATTTTCGGTTAAGTGACCGCACTTTAAAACTGTTTAAAAAGGGTCATGAATATGGACAAACTATATGTTATTCGAAAGAGCTCGGCGAGATGACTCGAATACAACAAAATCATGTGGGATTCGAAATGATACGGGCTCGAAATGGTTAAAAGATACAAGGATCAGATTCCTTCCTTTTAATGGTTCCTGGTTCCTTCCTTCCTATTAAAAATTCTACCGTAATACTAACCTCCACAAAAAACATTCACTGTCAAATAAAGCTTCATGCTATCGGAAATCCCTTTAGTTTTGAGTGCCGATTTATTAAATTTTGCTGTGTAAAGTAACCGTGTCATATTAAATATTGAAATAATTGTACAGATCAAAGATAATAAATACTCAAAAAATATTATATAGGTTACTGGTGGGAAGATAGGTACAGGAGGTTTTGAAGTAATATTCGACACCATCTGGACTAATTTTAATTTTTAATTTTATCAAAGATTTAAAATGAACGAAATTGAATAAAATAGTAATGGGGGGAGAGAGAATTTTGATGAAATTTTATTTTAAAATTTCTGAAATAATTCGCAACATAACAATTAACTAAACCTATTATAGAACCTTAAACTCTCGCGAATACTTTACTCGTTGCGAGGAGACGTATTAGCAGGTTTCAGTATATTCTATACAAATTTAGAAATATTCAGAAATTACATGGTTATATGTACAAGTCCACGTTCAAAAAATTTCTTAAAGTATAAATTATAAAATTTAAATTTTATATAATATACAGCTTTAATTGTGCCTTTAAAAATGCTTTTTACGCTTAAAATTGTCATTTGATTTTTTATCTGATAATTAAATTTAATAAAATATTTTATTTTATACTTATAAATATTTAAACAATTTTTTAAATAAATGTAAACAATTATAAATAATGGCAACCTTAATTTTCTCAATTATATACTCTATAATTGTTTCAAAAGTTATTTAATGTCTATAATTTAATTTTCTTTGAAGTTTATAAAATAAAATTTAAAATTTTTTTCATTGAAGTTTATACTAGTATTTTACTAGTGCAATAAATAAATTAAATTTGTATTTAAATTCTTACTTTTAGAATATTTTTTGAATTACTGCTAATTTAATGGATTTAAAATTTTTATCGAAATTAAAAAATTCAATAAAAAAATTATCAAGATGTTTAAACATAAAAAAATTTTTAGTAAAAGAGATAGTAGTAATGTGGTTTACTTAATAATAAAAAAAAGTTCCAGACATTTACTAATTCCAGTTTCAAGCTAGTTCCAAATAGTTGTTAGTTCTGTAGTTTAGAGTAAGTCGAGCTCGAGCGAGTTCGAGTTACTCGACTCGACCGCTCGGGTTTTTTGCGTAATTACTCGACTCGGAACTCGGGATCATAATACTCGGATTACTCGAGCTCGGAAACTTCCTACTCGACGTACTCGGTTAAAACCGAGTATTTTTATGCCCCCATCTGCGGCGCAAAAAGGAAGATTTTTAGCTTAAGGATCTTCCAAAATTCTCAAAATTTTCGCCTGCGGCGCTGAAAAAGGAAGAAATCTAGTGTGATGGTCTTCCAAATTTCTCAAAATTTTCGCCTGCGGCGCTAAAAGAAGAAATTTTGCTCTCTGGCCTTCCAAAATTCTCGAAATTTTTGGCTGCGGCGCTGAAAAAGGAAGATTTATGTATATCGGAGGATTCAATCAAGCTAAGTGGATTTTAGTGATATCCGGATATTTCAAGGGATCTAAAAGAATAGCGAGGGATCTGGCCTTCTGAGAATTGGTGTTCCTACTTGACCTTCAGAAATTCTCAAAATTTAAGCCAACGGCGCGAAAAGAGAGGGATAGAGCAACGTATCTCATGATCACCTTTCGGCAATATATCTAATCCGACGATATCCCAATTAATCTCCCGAATTTCCAAGATTTTGCTTTTAATACACCCAAATCTCACTATAATCGGCCTAAATCCCGCTTAATCCCTTGATATTTATCTCATTCATCTGTTATCATTCGATATCTTCTTAATCTACACGAATTCCCGAAATAATATTATCCATTGATGTTCAACCCGGAGCCCGATTCAACATTGATCGTCTGCATATCATGGAATTTTTGCGGATTAAGAGGGATATAGACGGATTAACGAAAATAACTGGGATTTGGATGAAGATCTAACGCATTACTGCCAATAAATGCTCAAAACACGGCACTGAGGATGAATAGTCTTTAGTAAAAGTATTGTTTTTATTGAAATTATTTTAAAATACTGTTTTATAAAAAATACTCGATTACTCGACTACTCGAACTCGAACTCGGCCTAAAAAGTTGAGCTCGAGCTCGAACTCGGGTTTTTCAAACTCGGATTACTCGAGCTCGGTTTTTTCCCAATTACTCGGTACTCGACTTACTCTACTGTAGTTCTAGTTCTGGAACTTTGACATCACTGCTTGGAACCTAATTTTTGAACTTTAATAAAATCCTTCTGTGATGAAATTATTGAAACTGTAGTTTTTTGAGTATCTTTAAATTTTCTCCAATAAAATATTCCACAAATTGCTGTTTCCAATGATACTCCGAGCAAAGCAAGTTCGCCTGTGTATACTGAGGGTGTTGTTCCTGTGATCTGAAATATATTACATATAATATTTTAAATCTGTCATCTAATCAAAAATTTTAAAGTTATCATTTAAGTATTTACCAATTTATATACAATGTTGCCTTATCCAGGAATAACATTTAAAAATATTTCAATTATAACAGTAATTTTAATAATTCTATTGTCCTTAAATTATTTAAGAATTTTTAATTTTAAAAATATTTTTACCAATTTATTTTTAGCTTCCCCTCCAACTTTTTCGAGTAAATATAAAAATAAAATACAACAAAATACATTAGCAAAACCAAAACAAGTTTTGACAAAAAGGACTGGATAATTTTTTAATCGAGGTTGCATACAAGATTGGGTTTCACAATATTTACCTCAAAATAAATTTTTATTTTTGTAATTTATTCAAGAAGTACAAAGGACTTCTAAAAAATTGCAGATGGTTTTATACTTTAGTCTCAGAATTTACAAGCATAAGCATGAAATAGCCTTTGTTCAATAGTTCCGAATCTTACGAAACTTAGTAAATATTAAACGATTTTTCTCATAGAGATAAAGATATTGGTAATTAAATTGATGAGGAGTTAAGACTTTGCGCTATCATGTCCCCACGCCCTTTTAGGCTGTATCCGGAAGAACTTTTAAATTTATACATAAATTAAAAAATAAAACTTTTTCATTAAATCTCCGTCCTAATTCAGAACTGTATTTTATCATCTTTATACCTCCTTATTACAATTACTCCCATCTTTGATAAAATACAGGTCGAAATATAATTTCCCCAGCTCAAATATTACACTTCATTTCTTAGTAAAGGAAATAATTACTCAGATAATTACTCAAAAATTATAATTTTAATAAAAGCTACATTATCTTTATTTATTATTACATAAAGTAAAAGTTTAATCCCGGGCAGGCTTCGACCCTGCGACCTCCTGACAGTTTTTGCTAGGCGCTCAGCACGTACAGGTGCTCTGCCAACTGAGCTACCAGGACTCTGCCTTCGCCTTCTCTTTTAATAAATCTTTAAAAATAATCTAGTGAGCGTTTTAAATACTAGCCAGCCCTTTCTCTTCCTTACATTAATCATACAGACAAATTCTCAATATCAAGCACTGATTAAATATTAAGTTCGATTACCAGTTTCATAATTCAATGGAAATTCAAAAGCATAGCTTGCCCCACATAAAAGATAAACTGCGATAACAACAAATATCCCTCCGATAATAAATATTCCATTTTTCTTGCCAGTCAATTGATTTCCCGTTTTTAACACCAAACAACGTTCCAAACAAAGAATAAACACCAAAATACTTGAAACTCCATAATGAAGAGCATTAAATGTACTCGAAATGAAATGATAAAGAACGTTAGAATACAATGGCACGTCTCCACGCATAAATGGAGGACGCCACCAAAATACTTTGTAAATGAAATATGGCAATTCTGTTGCTATAAAGATAAATGCACTTATGTTAGATTTTATTTAATTATTCCAATTTATATGTAAGGTCCGTTACGAATAACCTCATCCCCACCTAAAATTTTTTGAGATGTTTTTAAAGTTGTTAAAATTCCATAAATTTGGGAGTATATTGTTACTAACAACTAGGGTTGTTGGTTCGTACCGAACGAACCGAAGAACCGAGAATTTTTTGGTACGGTTCTTCGGTTCGGTTTCGGATATCCGAAGAATTTTCAGGAACCGAAAACCCTACTAATAACATTTAATTTTGTGCCCTTCCTTTTAAAACTTTCATACTAACCTCCACAAAAAACATTCACTGTCAAATAAAGCTTCATGCTATCGGAAATCCCTTTAGTTTTGAGTGCCGATTTATTAAATTTTGCTGTGTAAAGTAATCGTGTCATATTAAATATTGAAATAATTGTACAGATCAAAGATAATAAATACTCAGAAAATATTATATAAGTTACTGGTGGGAAGATAGGGACAGGCGGTTTTGAAGTATTATTCGACTCCATTTAGTCTAATTTTTAATTTTATCAAAAATTTCAGAACGCAAGATTTAAAATAAACTAAATATAATAAAATAGTAATGGGGTGGGGGGAGAGAATTTTGAGGAAATTTAATTAAATGATTTCAAAAATGTTTCGAAACATAATATAATTAGCTAAAATATATATACATACTAGTACCTTAAACTTCTACGAATACTTCACTCTCGTTGCGAGGAGACGTATTGGCAAGTTTCATTGTATTCTATGAAAATTTACAGATATTTAGAAATTATAAGATTAGATTAAATTAATTAAATCTCAAAGTGTAAATTATAAAATTTTAATTCCAAATAATATGTATCCAGCCTTAATTGTGCCTTTAAATCTAATTTTTACGCTTAAAATAGACATTTGAATTTATATCTAATAATTAAATTTAATAAAATATTTTATTTTATATAAATATTAAAATAATTTTTTAAATAAATTTAAATAATTCTAAATAATGGCAATCTTTAATGTCCTCAATTATATACACAATTCTAATAAAATTTAACAAATTTAATTATAATTGTTTCAAAAATATTTAAATTTCTCTATAATTTAATTTTCTTAATTTAATATGTAAGTAAAATATTTTCTTTGAAGTTTATACTAGTATGTATACTTGTGCAAAAAATGGTACTTTATGGATATATCACCCCCCCCCCCCCACCCATTTTGTGTCTCAGAGTTTACCTTAATATGCAATAATGGTCAGCCTTTCTTTCCTTACATAATTTCACTCCATTTCCCTATAACGTATTTAATTGAGAGGCATTAGTAAAGAAAAGATTATTTTTTTATTTTATAATGATTATAATTAAGGGCTCTCCTCAGCCACAAGGAAATGGAGTTATGGAAGAAAAGAAAGGCTGACCATTATTGCATATTAAGGAAAACTCTGAGATTCAAAATAGGTGGGGGGGGGGTGATATATCCAGAAAGTATCCAAAAAATAAATTAATATTTAAATTTAATATTAAATTCTTACTTTTATAATATTTTTTGAATTATTGTTAATTTAATGGATTTAAAATTTTTATCGAAATTAAAAAGAAAATTGAATAAAAAATTATCAAGATGTTTAAATGTAAAAAATTTTTTAGTAAAAGAGATAGTAATAATGTGGTTTACTTAAAAATTAAAAATAAATGTCTGTAAATAAATGTTGTTTGTAATGGTTTTTGGAGTAAAACATCAAAATATTTTGTTGAACATATGTACATATTTACATTGATGACGATTGACAATTCTCGCTAAATTTTGAGATAAATTTAGTTTTTGACATTTAATTGAAAAAATTTTTGGCCATTTAATTAGTGGTAAATATTTTGAGGATTTATTCTTGGAGTCCTGTAGAATTTAAATAAATTAATTACCATCCTGCACATCTTTAAAAAAACAATATTTTGTTCTTAAATCAACTAGACAAATTCAATATCATTCAAATCTACATGATCCTCTACATTAAATTTCTCAAAACGAATATCGAATAAACTATTTAATTCAACGCTCAAAATCTCAGCTTTTTGTTTGGCGGCTTCTGGCGAAAACAATCCTTTCCCCGAATATTTTTCTTTCATCTCTCTAGTTTTAAGGAATGTGACTTCATTGTTTGGACCCAAATATTCTAAAATATGAACAGAAGCTTCGTGTAACCATCCTCCTCGAACCTTTTCTATAAAATCGTAAATGATTGATTTTCGCCCTTCATGGTGATTTTTTGATTTTGAAATATCCTTTAAAATTTATTTTATAATCTATAATAATCCGATAGTATTAGGAGATATTATGTTAGTTTCGGTTTGAACGGTAGTGAGTTTACAAATTGGCAGGGTAGACCAGTAAAAAGTGGGTCGCCATTAAGGTTGTCGGATAGTTGGAAATCTTCGGATATCCGGATCCGGTATCCGAAAATAATTTCCGGATATCCGGCCTTTTTTAGGATCCGGATATCCGGGTCAGACAACCCTAGTCGCCAGTAATACACACACATTAAATTTGTTTCTTAAATTATTAGTTTTAAATGAGTCTCTGTTAGCTCTTGAGCAAGGCGTTAAAATAAATAAAAAAAATTTTTTTGATTTTTTCTGAATTTATTTTTTTTTACTGGACATATAAAAATTTATTTGGACGTATAAACTTTGATTGGACGCATGTATAAAAGTTGATTGGACGTTTATTATGTAATAGGCCATTTTATTTACCTTCAATTTATGTTCAAATATTTTTTGTTCCAAGGTCGATGCAAAAATAAAAAGACGAGATAAAATACACAAAGCATGTTCTCTCTCACCCAATGACAAGTTTAAATTTGATTTTATTTCTAAATTCACTTTGCATTGGTTATGAATATATTGCGGCAAATTTGATAATATTGTCTTATTTTTCTGTATTTTTAAAACAATAATTAATAAATTTAATCAGAGGTGAGTCGGAATTCCGATTTCCGATTTCAAAAAAAATTTGATTTCCGATTTCCGAGTTCGAATTTTGAGCCAGTTCCGAGTTCCGACACCTCTGACTGTTTCGACCCACTTCTGAATTTAATAAAAAAATTTTTTAACTAACCAAATTTTTAAATACTTCACCACCGAACATCGAATTAATTAATTCACTCAAAAATTTTTCTGAGTTTAAATATTCCCCATTGTTCGATACAGAAGAATGGTTAAACTTACCTTTTGATGTTAAAAATGCGAAGGTATCGAATGTTCTATTTGTTTGGGTCTGAAATTAAATATTCTTTAAGTAATGAAATAGTATTTTAATATTAGGTTTTGACAAGCACCAAGTCCAATATTAAATTAACGTCAACACGGGACAGGATCCCGTGCGTGATCTTACGGGATCTTGTCGCGAAATCCCGTATTTTAAGCGACGAACGGGATTATAGGATTTACAGGATTAATCCCGCGGGATCCTGTGAGTGAATGCGATTTTGCCGACCGTTGTCGCGAAGCGACGAAGGATGAGGAAAATAAAATAAATATATTTCTATAATTTTAATTCTAAATTAATCATCACTTTTTGCAAATTCCTTTTTCGGACTTTCACCTGGCTAAAAATAATTTTTTTGCTGTAAACATCTATTCAAACTCTATTTACATTTTTAGTCCTTTTGTTCTAAAACTTAACTTTATTTTCCACTCTTTTGTATTATTCAAAACATGTGCATTTTATTTAATCGTTCCTATTATGCCTTTAATGATCGAAATATTTTCCTGTCTACCCGCCTATTTTTCTGGCTTATATAATCTCCCCCTCCAAACCCCCAACTAGCTTCTTTCGGTGTTTAGCTTCTGTTCTAGCTTTCTCATTAGCTCATTCTGTTTGGCTTGCTTCTCTTGGTTTTATAGCTCTGGTTCTTGTGGCCTTATCATTAATTTACTTGTTGGATTTTAATTGTGTGAAATAAACTTTTTACTATTTGTTTGGTTTTAATTTATTTGGTGGTCAAATCCCTCGGCCAACTGTGTTGGAATCTTTTGGCCTAATCCAAGTAAAAGCTTTTGCTGAATTAATTTGTTGGTACTAAACCCTTGGCCAATTGTGTTGGAATCTCTTGGCCTAACCCAGCTCTTGCGAATCCCTATTTGTGTATTGGCTCTATTTGTTTGCTATATTTTTTTTGGTGCAACGGCCGGGAACCAGGCCGCCTTCAATTTGCTACTTGAATTCTAATTTTGGTTTGGAAGTGCTGTTCAAATGTCCGGAAGAATTAGACGAAACCTGAACGCTGCCTTGAAAACCATTCAAGAGCATACTGCCGAGGCCAATCGAATTATTGCTGAGGAAAATGATGAGGATACTCGCAGAAAGCTGAAACTGGAAAAAGCCCATATTGAGACCACTATTGGAAGGATTGAGGAATTGGATGCCCAATGGAGTGATTATGTGACAAGCTTAGAAGGGCCGCAAAAAATGGCTGAGGAGTCGCTATATCTGGATTTTCCGCCCCTATGTGCTGGTATGGAAAGGGAGGAAGGGCAGGAAGTACCGTTAGCTCAACGTCATTTTGTGGATCAATGCGAATTTGCCCGTCAAGTTGTTGTGCTAATTGAACAAACCATGGAGGATCTTGGCCAGTCTAGAAGCGGTTCACGTCAATCTGCAATGAGCGAAGTGTCAGATAACCGAACCAATGACCTTGGAAACCAAAATCGGAGGGCACAAGGAAATCAAAGGCCGCAGCCGCCTACAGTGCAGATGCAACCGCCTTTTATGGCGCAACCCCGTGCGAAGCTCCCTCCATTGCATTTGCCTCACTTTTCGGGAGAAACCAGAGACTGGCCTACCTTTTGGCAACTTTACGAGTCAACTGTGGATAATGAGCCCAGCTATGACAATGTTGTGAAAATGAGTTATTTGCTTTCTCTGTTGGACAGGCCCGTACA